TGGTTTAGAGCAGTGATCCCCGACCTTTTTATCACCGCGGACCTGTCAACGTTTGACAATTTTACCGCTGCCCGCTGAGAGGGAGGACGTTTAATGTTTATATTTCAGATTATTTTGATTTATTAATTTNTTCCCACCTGGACTTTTGTTTTGCAATTGTTACCCTGATAATTACATAACATAGAAATGAAATGGAGCCGTGGTGGTTTAGAGCAGTGATCCCCGACCTTTATATCACCGCGGACCAGTCAACGTTTGACAATTTTACCGCTGCCCGCTGAGAGGGAGGACGTTTATTGTTTATATTTCAGATTATTTTGATTTATTAATTTAAATTTAATTGCATTTAAACATGCCTTCAAAATAAAATTCAGTTACACCAAAAAATAAATATTAAGTGATTTAACATTTTAACTTACTAGAACTTTAAATCAAAAAGAACCTTGAGCTTGTTTATTTGCAATGAGACATTACAAACATTAAAAAAATTATGTCACTACCTTTGGGGGCCCCCTTTCTTTTAAAAATAAAACACAGATATTTATAATTTGGAGTATAAACTTAGGAATTTAAATTGTTTAAATGAAATGTGCGGCCCGGAACCATTTGATCCACGGACCGGGGAACACTGGTTTAGAGGATAGAGCGATCGCCGCACGCTGAGGTGACCCAGGAATATCCTCAGTGGTAATCATATCCGCTTGCAATCAGAGGTTTTCTTCCCCACGTAATGCTGAGGGTTAGTTTCATCAAAAAGTCCTCTATAATATCTAGTTTGTTCCAAGCATGATCAAGGATATCCCAAGTCCTCTGGGTTAAAAATTACAAGGTTACGGCTGTTCAACTTCAGTTATAAAACAAAACATTTTAATTTTTCTATTTCTTATAACACACATGGACAGAATTTTTAACTTTATATTATGAAAACGTTTTGTTTATCATTACTGTCAATTAGGGTAATTATAAAGTGAAACTTTTTAAATTTTTCTATTAATCTCTAGCCCTTTATTAGTCTATCAATTAGGATTAAAAACCCACCAATTAAAAAATATTAAAATTATATATTTTAATCTTTTAAAGAACACATAGTACAAATTTGATTTCTATCTCGGTAAAAATGTGTTAAACATAACTGTCAAATACCCCAATGTTATAAAAAAATCTAAATGAATTTTTTTTTTTAGTCTCCTTTATCTGAAGATCGAAATTCAATTTCAAGAAACAAGTGACAAGTTTGGAATTTCTATCTTAGCGGCCAACTTTTATTTAGCACTAGCCGCCTAGACGGTTAGTGGACAATTAAAGTGTTCCTGTCTTGCAATTTTGTCTTAAATTCCTATTTTATATATTATATAGCTACAACGCTTAAGAAAAAAAAAACTAAAATGCTAAATACATGAAAAAAACACGAAAACGAATTAATTTTTTATGGTATCAATTTCTATTTCTATATCGTGACAAAAATTATCGTCTTCGCTTAGGAAAAAAAAATAGAGCGTGGAAAGAAGAAAAACTTATTATAACAATTATTGTTGTTAATTTACGTCGCACTAGAGCTGTACTATGGGCTATTGGCGACAGTCTGGGAAACTTCCAGGAGGATGATCCGAAGACATGCCATCACAATTTTGATCCTCTGCGGAGGGGATGGCACCCCCGCTTCGGTAGCCCGACGACTTGCACGCGAAATCGAGCACAGTTTAACGAGGACCAATACCGCACACCCTCGGTCCCTACGCAGACTGATCCAAGTGGTCACCCACCCGCACACTGACCGTAGCCAGTGATGCTTGACTTCGGTGATCTGCTGGGAACCGTGTCTTAACGATCAGTCCACTGCGGGAC